AAATGATCTGGGAGCGAAGTCCTTTTACAGTACGATTACTTATATAATGTACCTGCAGCATGTAAGAGGCTCTATTAGGGTTCACCTGTGGAGAAACGCTAGTCTATTTCTCAGCTTTGTTTCTGTGAGAGTACACATAACAAACAATGGTTTGATACCTTCGTGACCAGGAGCAGTTGGACACAGATGATCTGACAAAGGAAAAACTGGGAATATTAGAACTTGTTCAAATCCTTTATCTTTTACTGTCTGATGTGTTTCCAACGCAGGAGGTGGTTATGTTTTTACTTCCAACAGTAGGACACTGCTCTATTGTCCACCTTTTCCACCGACATGGGTTAGACTGGTGTCAGCATTTCAACGTAGTATCAGCTCACTCATCTTGAGAGTATTGTAGTTCAGTCAAGCTTTAAGTTTCTTTCTAATTGTGACATAACTAACCATGTGCTTCTCATAAAAGTAAATTAAGGGACAGAGACTCCAAGTTCCACTATATTTACTACAGTGAGGATAATCCTGCATGCAAATATAGTAGTTTGTTGTGAGTTTGCAATGACAATGTAGAAATGCCTAAATACAGGGAAGATGGAGGGGGTTCTTCCTGTCCATCTATAATGCTGAAGTTGAACAGGGCCTTTGTTTGAGAGAGCTTTCACTCAGAGGGTTTCATTTCAGAAAAGAAATTCTAGAGCACTAGTATGATTCTAAAGGAACCTTTTTTATATCACACCACATAGAAGAGGTCAATAAACACCTAGTGGTAAAATGTGCTGTCACAATATAACCTTCATAAACAATAAATTTAGAGGTAAATGATACCAATAAGTAGGCATGCTAACTTAGAGGAAATATATCCTTGCAGAAAACTGCATGTAAATTGTGATAAAAAGAAATTTTAGATATGACAATGAACAAAATATTGTAGACTGTATATAAAAACATATTACTAAGAAATTTTTATCTAAATACACATAAATGAAAGAAGCCACAGAGATAGCCTGAAGAACCAGTAACCTGATAAGATAGAAAAGGAGAAAGTAACACAAGGGAAGACTTGCACTCCCTGTAAAGTCAAGGCAAAGAGTAAGACAACACCACAAAATGGGCAAGAATCTAAGCTGGTGTTGTGGCATTCTTGGGGCCCTACAGGAAGAACCTGACAGAAGGGAAGAACATGATGGAACCTGGTATTTTATCACTTTCCAATGGAAGACATCTGTCAGATGCATTGTGCATTTGTCTACCAGACAATAATAGAGCATTAAACATGGCAGCTAATGATCTCAGCAGCTCCAGAACATCTGAACATTGTACAAGGAGGAAAAGAAAAGGCATGATAAATTAACAGACCTCATGGCAGATAACAGAAAGGCTGGCCTCTGAGAATGCGGGTGATGAGAATTGTGGGAATCCTAAAAAATGAGGGAACTCCTATTCTAAAACAACCAGTCCCAGTCATCGGCGCATCCATATAAAGAGATCTTCTCCTTCCTCTTCAAAGAAATATCAACCACGTTCTAAGTTTTCATAAACAATATTTATTTAGACCAACATATCAGTCATTTGTGAGCTATGGCGAAGAAACAGAAGACAGGCTACAAGCAGAGCGACGGCTGAGTCAGAGTGGGGGCTCCCTTCTATGGTGTAAAATGATGGTGAGTGGAATGCTTACAACATGGTAACATGACAAAGAGCTTACACATACTAGTCAAGTGGAAGTTTTAGATATAAATAAGCAATAATTTAAGACTCCAGTAGATGTACTTAACTTCAGGTTAGATGATAGAGGATTGATAAGTACAAAAGTACATTCAACACAAGACAAAGAATGCTCATAATCATATTGCCAAATTAGGATAAGACAGGATGTGGAACATCAATACTTGAAAAAAAAAACAATTTGTGATAATTTTTATGATTGATAAAAAGCACCAAATCACACAATGCAAAATATTGCAAACATCAAAGAACACTGAGGCAGACACTGAAGGGAAGAAAACCTAGGAACATTAAATTTGTGCGTTGGCTTATGTTTTGTTTTTTCTGATCTCTGAAAGAAGATAAAAGACACAATCTTCAAAGCAAAAACAGCTCATTAAGAGCATGGGAGAGAGATGATAATACAATGGCGGTTTCGATATGCAGAAAGAAAATATATTCCAACCTGGTTTTTGTAATTTAGCAAAATTCTTCCAATAATTAAAATGAAATAATGACATAACTTTTCTATAGAAAATACTGATGTGGTCACTAACCTAAAATGTGGATGTTCCAATCTAGATCATCACTAACCAATAGAATTATAACTTTGACCATAGGTATTTTATACCGCATAATTACCACATAAAAATTAAAGAAATGAAAACATGGCATTTTATTTAGCCTAATAGGTCTGAAATATTATTCTAGCACAAAATGTGTAATACTCAAATATCTCCTGCCACCTTAAATATAAATCTAAGAATTTATATTTAATGTCTGTGATACTAATAAAGAATTTTATCTGTTCCTCTAATAGTCTATGATATGTCAGATTTTTTAGTTTTAGAGGATTATTGCTTTGATAAATAACTGTTGTCTGTTTAGAATCTAGTCCCTAATAATTAATATAATCATTCTCAATTTCTGAAGTACAATGTCTTCTAATAGTATGAACACTGAAATGAAAAAGAATCTTTGGATACAGCATCATTAAATGTTTAAATACAGTACTGCATTACAAAAACAATGTCTAAGGCACAATCATAGTCATTATGGTTAGTTTACAGCTACTATATGTTAATGTTTTATATGAGAATATCTATTCATTTGTCTAAATGTACCCAGAGTTATAATCTGTTGGACACAGGAGACCACTTCCTATATAGAACCCCAGTAGAACAGACAATAAGAGCAACAATGAATAAATGAGACCTACTGAAACTGAGAAGCTTCTGTAATGCAAAGGACACTGTCATTAAGACAAAAAAGGCGGCCTACTGAATGGGAGAAGATCTTCACCAATCCCGCATCAGACAAAGGTCTGATCTCCAAAATATATAAAGAACTCAAGAAACTAGACATTAAAACCCTAATTAACACAATTAAAAAAAATGGGGTACTAAACTGAACAGAGAATTCTCAACAGAAGACATTCAAATGGCCAAAAGACACTTAAAGTCATGCTCAACCTCCTTAGCAATCAGGGAAATGCAAATCAAAATAACTTTGAGATACCATCTTACACCTGTCAGAATGGCTAAAATTGAAAACACCAATGATAGCCTATGCTAGAGAGGATGTGGAGTAAGGGAAACACTCTTCCATTATTGGTGGGAATGCAAACTTGTGCAACCTCTTTGGAAATCAGTGTGGCGGTTTCTCAGGAAATTTGGAGTCAACCTACCTCAGGACCCAGGAATTCCACTCTTGGGAATATACCCAAGAGATGCCCAATCATACAATAAAAGCATTTGTTCAACTATGTTCATAGCAGCACTATTTATAATAGCCAGAACCTAGAAACAACCTACGTGCCCCTCAATAGAAGAATGGATAAAGACGGTGTGGCACATATACACTTTATAGAGTTTTATTCATCAGTAAAAACAACGACATCTTGAATTTTTCATACAAATGGATGGAAATAGAAAACACTTTACTGAGTGAGATAACCCAGACCCAAAAAGATAAATATGGTATTTACTCAATCATAAGTAGATTCTAGCCTTAAATAAAGGACATTAAGCCTATAATTCATGATCCTAGAGAAGCTAAATAAGAAGGTGAACCCAAAGAAAAACATACAGTTATCCTCCTGGATACTGGAAGTAGACAAGATTTCCAGGCAAAAGTTGGGAGCATGGGGGTAGGGGTGGGGTGGGGGGTTAGAGGAGATGGGGAGAGAGAAGGGAGAAGGGGAGGATTGGGGAGAGCTTGAGGGAATGGGATGGTTGAGATGGAGGGTGGATGTGGAAGCAGGGAAGTAGCTATCTTAATTAAGAGAGACATTTTAGGATTGCCAGGAGACTTGAGTCTAGAGGGGTTCCCAGGTGTCCAAGGAGATGTTTTTTCCTTGGGCAGCAGAGGAGAGGGTGCCTGAACTGGCCTTATCCCATAGCCACTCTGATGAATATCTTGCATATCACCATAGAACCTTCATCTGGCGATGGATGGAGATAGAGACAGAGACCCACATTGGAGCACTGGACTGAGCTCCCAAGGTCCAAATGAAGAGCAGAAGGAGGGAGAACATGAGCAAGGAAGTCAGGACCGCGAGGGATGCGTCCACCCACTGAAAAGTTTGGACTAATCTAATGGGAGCTCACCAAGGCCAGCTGGACTGGGACTGAACGAGCACGTGATCAAACCTGACTCTCTAAATGTGACTGACTGAGAAGCCAAGGACAATGGCACTGGGTTTTGATTCTACTGCATGGACTGGCTTTGTGGGAGCCTAGTCTGTTTGGGTGCTCACCTTCCTAGACCTAGATGGAGGGGGGTGGACCTTGGAATTCCCACAGGGCAGGGAATCCTGACTGCTCTTCGGACTGGAGAGGGAGGGGGAGGGGAGTGGGGGGAGTGGGAGGTAAATGGGAGGAGGGGAAGAGTTGGAAATTTTTAAAAAATAAAAAAATAATAATCTGTCCAGAAAATACTCAAGTTGCCATATTATATAATTTCAAAATATTTGGCTAAAGCACAATTTTAATTTATTATAATTTATTAAGAGACAATGTATTTCTTTGTAATGGAAAAGTATGTCAACCAAGAGGCTGCAACTTAATCACATTAAGGTAACTCCCCTGTCTTAACAATAAAAAAAGCTATCAAAATCAGATTAACAGTCAAATGTAGAAGCATGAAGATGATCTTCACTATAATCTGTTAATGATTGCTTCACACCATCAACCTAGGTGATCTCGGTGAGTGAAGTTAAGGATCTGACCAAGATATCACCCCAGAGTGGAAGGGGGTGATGCCCATGTATCTCTATGACCCTGTGGGTCTAGTGTACTCACCAGTTAGAATACTGCACTATCTCTCTTCAATGTTTCTGTTTGGCTTTCTGTTCTGGATGAGAGGTATTTTCTCTCTTAGAGGATGAATATGGCAGAGTGACATTGTATGTTCTCTTCAGAACCGAATGTCTTAAAAACGGACTGAGCTGAGGAGAGAAACAGAGCAACTTAGTTTAATTATATCATCCATATACTTTGAAGGATTAGTTTATATAAATGAACAGTGGTCTTGTTAATACAAACTAACTCACTGATGTCATTTATTAATACCCTAAATGTTTAGATTGATATCCAAAGTATTCTTTAACATACAATGACCTTAACTAAACTGTACTTAATATTTTGTTTATATGTATCTGAGAGAAACCAAACCCTTCGGTAAAACCTACAACTTTCTAATAATGAGTGGGTGCATTAGAACGTGTAAGTTTTATTTTTTTAATATTGTGTTTCCAGTGAAAGCAGATACTAACTTTTAACATGTTTTCTCCCAACATTTGCCATTCTGACAAATATCTGGTGTTAAAATATACCAATATCATCTTTCCAAGACTATTCTAGTAATGTGAGCATGAGATAGCAAGACACAGCCCGTTTACCTGACCCAGGCAACAGACCAATGAAAACACTGAGGAAAAAAAAGAGTTTGAAACAACTTTACAAGGATCAAAACTAAAATTAAGGCAATATTCATTCCCCCGCTGTTATCTACATGTCTTTTTGGAGATATCTGCAAAATCAGGACGATGAACATGTGACTCTGCTTTGGTATTGCTGTAAGTATTAACTGAAGTCAACTGTGTGAGCAAATCAAGCCTAACACACAGTTTGAACACAACCCTTGCAACACCTCCTTCTTATTTACATTTCCTTCCCAGGAGACACACACAGTAGGATGAATAGAGGAGCTGGAAACTGAGGCTAAAAGTTTCAGCCATCAAGTTGAGAATTCTGCATTCTAGGCTTATAGTTTTCCACTGGGGTCTGAATGTGATAATTAACCACACCCTGCAATGGCTCTGCTTACTTACTCTAGAGCCGTGGCTCTCAACCTTCCTAATGCTGCAGCATTTTAATACTGCTCCTCATGTTGTGGTGACCCCCAACCATAAATTTATTTTCATTGCTACTTCATAACTATAACTCTGCTATTGTTATGTTGTTATGAATTGTACTGTTAATATCTGTGGTTTCCAATGGTCTGAGGAAACCCCTGTGAAAAGGTCCTTAGATTCACAAAGGGGTCACAAACCACAGGTTGAGAACTGCTTCTTTAGAGATTTCTTTCCCCCCTCTGTTGGTTCATCTGAAAAAGAAAAAAAAAAAGCCTGTGGTATCTTCAAGTTACTTGTTCCCTTGTCTGTTGCTCCCCCTGCCAACCTTACATATAGGAAATACAGGATTAGAGCAATTGTATTCTGATTCTTAAACCCACAGATTTGTCACTTATTTGCCAAAACTCTCAGTGTGTGTGTGTGTGTGTGTGTGTGTGTGTGTGTGTGTGTGTAAAATTGGGGACCAAAATGGACTAGAAAAAGGAAAGGAGAGTTAATTCAAACCACCTACTGCCTATTCCTTACCAACTTCCAAGCAAATACACTGACTTCAGAAGGTCGAGAGTCTGTCATTATTAGGAAATGATGAAGTTCGGAGGACCATTAGAAACCAAAGGTTGGCATAAAAACGTTTTGTGAAGCCCTAAGTTTCCGAGCTGCTAGTTACTATGCACAATCATAGAAGTAGGTTTCTAATAATCTCATCACAGAGATACAAACAGAGCTGAATTTGGGCACAAGGAAGTAGAAACAGAGTGGAAGTGCAAAGGCTTTATCTACATCAGAAGCAAGAAATGACCAATTTACTAAAGTCACTGCGGCACAGGTTCTTTCTATGCCCTTCCTTAAAGGCTCTCACACTAAAGACTTCTGATGTGGAAGGTTTCTCTTACTAAGAGCTGATGGCACCATACATTAGAGAAAAAGTGAGCTTTATATTACCTAAGATGGAGTGACTCACTCAGCAAACAGTGGTTAATGAATGGAACTGTATCTTAAAGTACCCGCATTTAGCATCCTATGACAAAGCTATGATTCAAGCAACAAAAAATGGGCGCATTCAAAAGACATATGTGTTAAAGTAATAAGTTTCGTATTTATAAAAAAAATAAATTACTACATATCATCTAGATATTATGTATCTAAATTAAAATATCTAAATGTTTAAAATGTATATTACAAATTCAATAGATGAAAATACTACTGGTTACTATACCTAGGATTTTATTTTAGAAAGTCATTCTGATTATAAAAAAGGTAACTGAAATTTACCATATTGTTTTAAACAAAAAAAATATATTATTTCAAAAGTCAAGGAGGAAATTGGCACAATGGTTTTTTACCAGGAAATGAAAAGGCTGCCATAATTATTTTACTAAGTTAGAGGACAAGGCTTCCAAACATGCTACTGCTTACATCAAAGAATATGTATTCTTAAGTATTCTTAAGAACCTGATACTGAGTGACATCTAAGGATAAGTAACCTCTGGAGGATCTGACACTATAACATCTAAGGAATTGTAGACTCCAGAGGATCTGATACTGTGTAACATCTAAGGATAAGAAGACTCCAGAGGATCTGATACTGTGTAATATCTAAGGATGCCTAAGCTCAGGAGGATCGGATACTGTGTGACATCTATGGATATGTAGACCATGGAGGATCTGATACTATGTAACATCAAGTATATGTAGGCTCTGGAGGATTTTAAGACTCACTAGAAAGAGGCGACAAAGCACTGGAGGACAGCAGCAGGCCCACACCAAGGGTCAACTAACCTTTGACAAGGCAGCAAAGCAATACAGTGGAGAAACAACAATTGTCAGGGTTACAGGAAGCCAGAGGGAAACAGAATTAGTGATTTAACTTTGAGGAAGATGTGATGATGACCAAAGAGACAGCCATTAAGAATTTGACAGTGAGTGACAAAACTAAAGTGGATGGCCACACCTAATCCTAAATTCTAAACCACTAGAAAATATCAAGTTAACAATTCTGTTCTTCCTAAGGCACATGCATATGGAAGAAAGCCTGCTACCCTTACTAGAGACTTTTAGCCATCATTTTATGCCTTAGATGATACTGAACATGAGATAGGCCTTTCGTGTATTTGAGCTTCCTGAAATCATGTGCAGATGTAACTTTAAGAATGGAAATTCTGAAAGTGTCTCCCTTTCGGAAATACTGAAAGAATTTCTGAATACTGAAAGAGTAGCCTGATGTTCACCTCGGAGTTTTATATTCTATATCAGATGGCTTGCAAAACTGATTTAAAATTAATCTGAACTAAGAACAATTTATATGTGTTGTTTCATTTACATCATGATGAATGTACGTGAATCATGAATTACTGCTGCAGAGAAATCAATGCACCTTTTAAAGCTGTGTTTCTGTCTCAAATGCCTAATGAAATAAATTAGACTATACTCTAACTTCCCATTGGTTATAGCGTTCAGTAAACTTATAAATAATATTGTATATATTCACTATGTGCTTTAAAATATATTGCTTAAATCACGTTAGTCATGAAAGGGTATTAGTGCATATTTGTTCAAACGCTTGCTAGGATTAAAAGCATATATTTTCTTCCCCAGAATGACAAATGCCTTCCCAAATCTCAGTAAAAAATACTTTTTTTTAGATGCAGCACTTTGTTCCATGTCAGAAAAGAAAATGAGAAGGTAAGGAGCTGTTTGCTTTTGTGGTATATGCATCTTAGAAGATAGAATATTGAAATTATTAGCAAATAGTTTTGAAAAAGTCACTACCAGGAAAGACTAAGATAGAATATCCATTCCAATGTAAAGGTGATTAAAGGAACATAATGACTAATGCATGATTCTTGATGTAAAATATTAATCAAAGAGTTAGAGAATTAGAATAAGATCTATATTACAGATAATAGCATAGTAACAATGAGAATCCCTAATTTTTATCACTGTTCTGTGGTTTGAGAAGATAATACCTTCCGGGAAAGGAGATAAATTCTGATGTACTTAAAAGTGAAAGATTATGATATATTATAGATCCAACAATGTCATAAAATACAGTATATAAAATGCAGAGCTATTTATGTGTATGAGAGAATAAAAGAGAGAAAATGGAGGGAAATATAAAACATATTTCACAATAACAATTAAAATATCAACTTTTGGATATGTTTCAAAACAAATGCAACAATGTATAATCTTATTTTTTAAATTTTTATTTTATGTGTCTGGGTGCTTTCGCTGCACATATGTAAGTGAACCGTATTGTTTCTGGTGCTCTCAGAGGCCAGAAGAGGTGGACTAGGAGCCCCTAGAACTGGAGTTACAACTGGTTTGGGGCCATGGTGTGGTGCTGAGTATTGAAGCTGGGGGTACTCTAAACCCACAAGCCATCTCTCCAGCCCCATAACATGCAGTGCTACAGTGAAGCATTCTCTTTGGGTTCCCAGTAGCCAGACACTCTGCAGCTTCTGTGCTTAGGATTTGTCTTCCTCAAGAAATAGAAGCTCTGGGCTGGGGCACTGGCTCAGCAGTTAAGAGCACCGGCTATTAGGTTTAGTTCTTAGGGCAAACGTCAAGGCATAACTGCTTCATGTGGTAGATCTACTTTCAGCTGTTTTTGAGACCTCTCTGCACTGATTTCCAGAGAAGATGCACAGATTTGTATTCTCACTAACAATGAATGAGGGCCCCTCTTTCTCCACAACCTTTGTTGCCAGTTGTTCTGTTGATCTTGGACACCTGAGAAGAGTGACATGAAATCTCAAGGTTGTTTAAATTTGTATTTCCTTAGTTGCAAAGGGTAAGGAACACTTCTTGAAGTATTCCTTAGCCATTTTTATTTCTTTGTTTGAGAACTCTAGTTAGATCACTAGACCATATTTTTATTGGGTCATTTGTTCCTTTGACTCTTTGTCTTATGAATTCTTTGAATATTCTGGATAGCAATCCCCCTCCAGATCTAGCTGACAAGATTCTCGCCCATTCAGTTAGTTTCTTCTTCGCTCATCACCTCACATCTCCACCTGACGCAGCCACAGAGAGATCTGTTTGGATCTGGCTCCATTCATTCACATTAGGCTTAGGATACAGAGCCTTGT